GCAGAAGACATGAACAGACACTTCTCCAAAGAACACCTACAAATGGCTAACAGACATATGAAAAAATGCCCCACATCACTTGGCATCAAGGAAATACAAATCAAAACCACAATGAATACCACCTCACACCAGTCAGAATGGCTAAAATTAACAAGACAACAAACAACAAATGTTGGCAAGGATGTGGAGAAAGGGGAACCCTCCTATACTGTTGGTGGGAATGCAAGCTGATACAGCCACTCTGGAAAACATAATGGAGATTCGCAAGAGGTTAAAAATAGAGCTACCCCGGGCTCGTGGGTGGCTCAGTTGGTTAAGCAACTGCCTTCGGCTCAGGTCATGTTCCTGGAGTCCTGGGATCGAGTCCCACATCGGGCTCCCTGCTCAGCAGGGAGTCTGCTTCTCCCTCTGACGCTCTTCCCTCTCGTGCTCTCTGGCTCTCATTCTCTCTCTCTCAAATAAATAAATAAAATCTTTAAAAAAAAAATAGAGCTACCCCATGAACCAGCAATTACACTACTGGGTATTTACCCCAAAGATACAAATGTGATCTGAAGGGGCACCTGCATCCCGGTGTTCATAGCAGCAGTATCCACAATAGCCAAACTGTGGAAGGAGCCAAGATGTCCATTGACAGATGAATGGATAAAGAAGATGTGGTATATATGGAATATTGGTATATATGGAATACATGGAAAGGATGAATAGTTACCATTTACATCAATGTGGATGGAAATGGAGGGTATTATGCTGAGCAAAATAAGTCAATCAGCGAAAGACAATTATATGGTTTCAATCCTATGTGGAATTTAAGAAACAGCACAAAGGATCATAGGGGAAGGGAGGGAAAACTGAAAAGTCATCAGAGAGGGAGAAAAAACCATGAGAGACTCTTAACTATAGGAAACAAACTGGGGGTTGCTGGAGGGGAGGTGAGTGGGGAGATGGGGTAATTGCGTGGTAGGCATTAAGGAGGGCACGTGGTGTGATGAGCACTGGGTGTTATATGCAACTGATGAATAACTGAACTCTACATCTGAAACTAATGATGTACTATATGTTGGCTAATTGAATTTAAATAAAAAAATAAAATACTGTAGTTGGATTGATTACTATAATAGGTATAGTGTTCCCTACATACCACTCAAACCATTAATAGGAACTTTCCACCCCCCCCAAACTGTTTTCCTTGTTTTATTTAACATCTCATTTATTAACAGTTTACAATAATTTCTTGAACATTTTTGGTATGTATAAGACTATTTAAGACCTTGAGAGAGAAGAAATTCTGAGGACTCCTATATTGCAAGTAAGACAGTAAGGCAGCAGCCTTACATTGGCAAAGCAGATGGTTTCCTACAAGTCTTGATTTTAAGGTGCCAGCAACATAATACTGTAAATCAGATAGGGCTGACCCCTCTTCTCACTAATAACATGGACTTATGTGTGCCGGTCAACCTCTCTGAGTCTCAGTGGCCCATCTGTAATTGAAAAGAAGGCCCAAGAAAGTAAAATAGACCTAGCATAGTGAATCATTTAAGTATATTCTGGAAGATGGTAGAATATAAATAAATGAACATCTGAACATTTAATGTACTAAGCTTTTAGTCAGTGTTAGACACTTCCCCTTTTCTCCCTAGCCTGTCACATTACTTGAAATGCCACCATTAGAGACTGGGGCTTTTAGATTGTGGAATTGTATTTTCAGACATCACACATCAGGCTGCTTTCAGCTGGTAGCATCCTAGTATGAGGTTTGGTTTTGTTTTCAGGAAAAGAATGCATTTTTTTTTTTATTATGTTCAGTTAGCCAACATATACATCATTCATTTTTTAATACTTTTTTTTATTATTATGTTCAATTAGCCAGCATATAATACATCATTAGTTTTTGATGTAGTGTTCAACGATTCATTAGTTGAATATAACACCCAGTGCTCATCACAACACGAGCCCTCCTTAATATCCATCACCCAGGTACCCCATCCCCCCACCCCCCTCCTTTCTGCAACCCTCAGTTTGTTTCCCAGAGTCTAGAGTCTTTCATGGTTTATCTCCGTCTCTGATTTCTTCCCATTCAGTTTTCTCTCCCTTCCCCTGTGGTCCTCTGTGCTGTTCCTTATGTTCCACATATGAGCGAAACCATATGATAATTGTCTTTCTCTGCTTGACTTATTTCACTTAGCATAATCCCCTCCAGTTCCATCCATGTCGAAGCAAATGGTAGGTATTCATCCTTTCTGATGGCTGAGTAATATTCCATTGTCTATATGAACCACATATTCTTTATCCATTCATCTGTTGAAGGACATCTCGGCTTCTTCCATAGTTTGGCCTTTGTGGACATTGCTGCTATGAACATTGGGGTAGAGGTGCCCCTTCCTTTCACTACATCTGTATCTTTGAGGTAAATACCTATTAGTGCAATTCCTGGGTCTTAGGGTAGCTAGCTCTATTTTAATGTCTTGAGGCTAGTATGAGGTTTTTAAAAGAGATTTCATTTCACACAAAACTGGGTGGATCCAGGCAGTCCCTTGAGAGAACAAACCATAGGTCCATTAAGAATTGTTGAATACTTGATTCATTCACTCATTCATTCAGTATGTAGTATGCTAGGTGCTGAGGTCCCAGACATGACAAACAGGAAACAGAATGGCACCCCAGGCAGTGGAGAAAACATGAGCAAAGTGTAAGGGGGGAAAAGAGTAGGTTCTACAGCTAGAGAGGAGTGTGTAGGTGGTGATAATACAGGGGGAGAAGGACTTGTTTGAATTCTGTTTTCAGGAATCTTTTGTTACAACATGAGCACAGAAATTATTTGAAGAGTTGCATTTTAGAAAGATCATTCTGGTAATGTTGGCAAGAATAAATCAGAAGGGTAACAAAATCAGAAAGGGAGATCATTTAGGAGAGGCTGTATCCATAATTCAGTCAGGTAGTACATAGGATTCCAGCTGAGGCAGTCCCAGCTTTGCTGTGGGGGAGTATTGTAATGAGCCCAGTCATAGATGAGAGGGAGCTGTGGGGTACAGAGGTGGGGGCAGCACCAGAAAGAGGTAAACAGATCCTGAAAGAGGGAATTGGAGAATACCAAGGAATAGTTTCACTTTCTTTAAAATGTTGCTTGTCTTGGGCCCCACAATGCTCTGGCTGCTTTGAGTGGATACAAAAAGGGGAAAATACGGTCTCTCATTGCCCAGAGGGACGTGCACTAGGTATTTGGTGGCCAGAAGAGACATTTAATAACAATCATTTTTACTCCTGAAACTTTGAACCACATGACCTGGGAGTCCCCAAACTCATTTAATATAAAAAATGGTTCATATTTTAGTCAGAAAACTAAATGTAATTTTTAAAAAATGGCTTCTATCTTCGAGGAATTCAGAATGTTATTGGGGAGACTGGACATCCATACCTAACAGCGTAAAGCTGTAAGGCAGTGTTAAGCGACTGGTATAGACAGTGAGTACTACAGAAAGTTAAGAGGGTGAAGATTGATGGTAGTGTATACTGTACTCTGTACCTCTGAGGTACACACTTTGTACACAACTGTTATTTTTAGTACGATAATGGAAAACACATCAGATTTATAGTGGCACATTCAGAATATCTGAATCTTGAAAGCCAATGCAGTAGTATAGTATGTTAACTTGTTAACTACAGACTTGGCAAAAATCTTTTACATTAGTCATAGGTAACCAAACCACAAGGTGGCGATATTAACTGAATTTCAACCAGGCTCCTGATGAACCATATTGGTGAAAATCTGACTTGAAAGCCTTATAATGGTGAGACATTGCTTATTGCAATTTGATCACTTTATGGTTCTGATAGAGATATTCAGTGTTTATTAACAGGTAGGAGAGAAAAAGAGAAAGAGATGTAGTACCTTTTTAATTAATTACCAAAATTATAATGACATTTTAAGAATGAATTGGCCAAACCATTTTACTAAAATACGTTTTCAAAAATAGCCTCATAATGATTACTCAATATAGTATATCATTTGTGGAGCTGGTTGTTTCCCTTTAGAAATAAGATCCCCTGGGGGTGCCACAGTGGCTCAGTAAGTTAGATGACCAACTCTTAGTTTCCACTCAGGTCATGATCTCAGGGTCCTGAGATCAAGCCCTGAGTCAAGCTTGAGATTCTCTCTCTCCCTCTCCCTCTGCCCCTCCCCTCACACATACACACACACACACACACACACACACCTCTCTCTCAAATAAATAAATAAAATCTTAAAAAACGGGAGAGAAATAAGATCCCACTTTAGTCAATCTGTCATGATAGACCTTTTAAGGTTTTAAAAATGTTCTATATCAAATGCCCATTATGACTATATATTTATGAACAGTGTTTATTGGCATAGGTTTGGTATTTTACTTCTTAGTAATTTTAGACAAGTTATTAGAACAGTGAATCATAGAATAGTCCATGATGGAGAAAATTAAGGTTGGGGTTATGAATGAAAGGCAGGAGCTAGACAGGAAATGTGCCAAACCAACAGAATTATCAGAAGTTGATGCTTGAGATATGTAAACAGTCAGAAATTCTGTGGCCAGTACAACCTAGAAAAGTGGTCAAGAACAAGGGAATCCACAGATATAAAAGGTTAGGCCAAGGCAGAGACTGAAAAACCAGACCAGTAAGTAGTGAGTAAACAAATATATAGGGAAAGGAGGCAATGAAGGATTTTGTTTGAACAAAAGCAAATATAAGAACATATTCATCCAGGTTCTAAAGATAAGAGTAAACAGCTTAACTTTACTAGATGGGTAAGTGTGACTCGAGCCAGGGCAGATCCTGGTCCCACTCCCTTTTGTTAATTACAGGATGCCCAACATTCTAAGTTGCATATGGATAGGATTCCTTGAGGTTAAGTTCTAAATGATCCTGTAGCAAATAAATTCCCAGTGATCTGGCAAGTAATGTTTAATTTGCATCATATGTTGACCATTTTACATCTTTTAAAGTAATACCTAAGATTTGCTTTTTAGGAATCTGAGAACCGGCAAATGATGGATCAACTCCGAAAAGCCAATGAAGATGCCGAAAACTGGGAAAATAAGGCCCGTCAAGCAGAGGCAGATAACAATACCCTCAAATTAGAACTTATCACTGCTGAGGCAGAGGGTAACAGATTAAAAGAAAAAGTAGATTCTCTCAACAGAGAGGTCGAGCAGGTAAGTTTGGGAAAATATACTTGTAGGACATCCTGCATCATTGTTAAAAGAGTTTTGTTTGGCATTCCATAAATATATAAATAAACATTTAAATTATTTAAATATATATACTGTGAATTGTAGACTAACTGTTGTCCTATATCCACTCTGGTTCCGCTTTAATCTATTAACTGCCCTACAACTAGAATAATCTAGCATTTTTAAAAATTAGGAATTATTTCAAACATACTAAGAAAGTTAAAAATAAAGTAATATAAATAATACACATATACCCATCTCCCTAGCTAGTTGAAGGATTTTTCCATATTGCTTCAAGACTGTCTTTGTAAAGAAACAAAATATTACAGATACAACTCTTCATCCTTTCCCCACCTCCCTCCCTAATGGTTGGCCTGGATAACTTTCGGGGCACCTGGGTGGCTCAGATGGTTAAGCATCTGCCTTCAGCTTGGGTCGTGATCCCGGGGTCCTGGGATCGAGCCCCACATCAGGCTCCCTGCTCATTGGGGAGCCTGCTTCTCCCTCTCCCTCTGCCTCTTTCCCTGCTCATGCTCTCTCTCTCTCTGTATCTCTGTGTCTCAAATGAATAAATAAAATCTTTAAAAAAAAGTAATATAAATAACACACATATACCCATCTCCCTAGTTGAAGGATTTTTCCATATTGCTTCAAGACTGTCTTTGTAAAGAAACAAAATATTACAGATAAAACTCTTCATCCTTTCCCCACCTCCCTCCCTAATGGTTGGCCTGGATAACTTTCATGTCACTTTTGTAACTCTTTTGTATGTATTTATACTTTTTCTACATATTTATTACCCATACATTATGTATAATGTTTTGTGTGCTTTAAGTTTTTAAGTGATACTCTAGATATCCATTTGCAGTTTGACTTTTTGCTCCATATTATAATTTTGAAATTTATCTATTTTCATACCTACAGTATATATCCAAACAGTTGCATCTGTAGTCATTGTATATTTTATTTTTAAAATTCATTCCCATATTAAAGGAAATTTAATTATCTTCACATTTTCTGTAATAAAATGCTGCATCTTTTAGATTTCTCCTTGGGTATATATTTCTCTGGGTTTATGCCCAGAAGTGGAATACCTGGATCCAAGATATGGGCAATTTTAACTCTTCTAAGTATTGTCAAAATGCTCTCTACAGTTTTACCCTTTCACCAGATATCATGGAGTTGTTATTTTCTCAAGTACTAATCAATACTTGATGTGTTCAGACTTTTGCATTTTTTTCTATATGTTCTGTTTTCTGTTTCCTTGATTACAAATGAAATTGGCGATCCTTTTATCTTTTTTGGCCATTTGGAATTCCTCCTCTATAAAATTTTCTCTTGATTCTCTTGAATGAATTTTTGTAAATTTTGCCCATTTTTCTATTAGGTTATTTATCTTTTTCAAATTGATTTATAGGAATTACCTATATATTCTTGATAATATTCCTTTTAAAGATACTATAGTTATCCTCTCTTTGTGGCTTGTTTTTTCACTGTGCTTGCAATATAAACAGAACCAGACCTGGTTCTGTTTATATTCTCATGCTTTCAGAATTATCATCAGTCTTTTCCCATATGGTTTATGTTTTTATGTCTTCTTTAAGAAATCCTTTACTATCCCAAGACCAGAAAGATATTTTCTTATATTTTAAAAGTTCTTCTAAAATTCTAGAAGTATGTGAAATTTTGCCCTTCACATTTAGATCTTTAATCCACTTGAGATTGAATTGTGTATGGTTTAAAATAGAGATGTAATTTTTGTTTTTGTGGATGGATATCCACCATCCTTTATTCACTGAATTATGTCTACTTTGTCTACTTTGTTTCCATTTGTTTTGCTCCATTGGTCATTTTATCTGTTTGCCAACAATAAATCCTTGGAGCTTCTATAGTTTTATGTTAAGTCTTGATATCTGGGATTAATGTTCCCCCCAAATTTTTTAAAAGATTTTATTTATTTATTTGAGAGAGAGTGCAAGCATGAGCCTAGGTGGGGGAGAGGCAGAGGGAGAAGCTCCCCACTGAGCAGGGAGCCCAGAGCAGGGCTTGATCCCTGGACCTTGAGATCATGACCTGAGCTGAAGGCAGGCACTTAACTGAGCCACCCAGGTGCCCTTATACCACATCTTCTTTATCCATTCATCAGCCAGAAGACATGTGGGCTATTCCATAATTTGGCTATTGTAGATAATGCTGCTGTAAACATTGGGTGCATGTATCCCTTTGAATTAGTATTTTTGTGTTCTTTGGGTAAATACCTAGTAGTGCAATTGCTGGATCTTAGGGTAGCTCTATTTTTAACTTTTTGAGAAAACTCTGTACTGTTTTCCAGAGTGGCTGCACCAATTTGCATTCCCACCAAAAGTGCAAGAGGTTCCCCTTTCTCTGCATCCTCACCAATACTTGTTTCTTGTGTTGTTTTTAGACATTCTGACAGGTTTGAGGTGATATCTCATTGTAATTTTGATTTGTATTTCTCTGATGATGAGTGATGTTGAGCATCTTTTCATGTGTCTGTTGGCCATCTATAGGTCTTCTTTGGAAAAATGTCTATTCATATCTTCGGCCCCCTTTTAATTGGATTATTTATTTTTGGGGTATTGAGTTTTCTAAGTTCTTTATATATTTTGGATACTAATCTTTTATCGTTAATGTCATTTGCAAATATCCTCTCCCATTCCATAGATTGCCTTTTAGTTTTGTTGATTGTTTCCTTTGCTGTGCTTTTTATTTTGATAAAGTCCCAATAGTTTATTTTTGCTTTTGCTTCCCTTGCCTCAAGAGACCTATCTAGAAAGAAGCTGCTATGGCCCGTGGCAAAGAGGTTGCTGCCTGTGTTCTCCTCTAGGATTTTTATGGTTTCAGGTCTCATATTTAGGTCTTAAATCCATTTTGAATTTATTTTTATGTTTGGTGTAAGAGAATGTCCCAGTTTCATTCTTTTGCATGTTGCTGTCCACTTTTCCCAACACCATTTGTTGAAGAGACTTTTTCCCATTGGATATTCTTTCCTACTTTGTTGAGTATTAATTGACCACATAGCTGTGGTTCATTTCTAGGTTTTCTATTCTGTTCTATTGATTTATGTGTCATATTTTTGTGCCAGTACCATCTTGTTTTGGTCACTACAGCTTTGTGGTATAACTTGAAATCTGGAATTGTGATGCTTCCAGCTTTGGTTTTCTTTTTCAACATTCCTCTGGCTATTTGGGGCCTTTTGTGGTTCCATATAAATTTTAGGATTGTTCTAGCTCTGTGAAAAATGCTGGTGGTATTTTGATAGGGATTGCATTAAATGTGTAGATTGTTTTGGGTAGTATAGACATTTTAACAATATTTTTTCTTCCAATCCATGAGCATGGAATGTCTTTCCATTTCTTTGTGTCATCTTAATTTTCTTTCATTAGTGTTTTATAGTTTTCAGAGTACAGGTCTTTTACCTCTTTGGTTAGGTTTATTCCTAGGTATCTTATGGGTTTTGGTGCATTTGTAAATGGGATTGATTCTTTAATGTTTCTTTCTGCTGCTTCATCGTTGGTGTATAGAAATACAACAGATTTCTGTATGTTGATTTTGTGTCCTGTGACCTTACTGAATTTGTTTATCAGTTCTAGTGGTTTTTTTTCCCTTTTTTAAATCTAAGTTCAGTTAGCCAAGGTATAGTACAGCATTAGTTTTTGATATAGTGTTCAATGATTTATTAGTTCAGCATAGTACCCAGTGCTCATCATATCACGTGCCCTCTTTAATGCCCATCTAGCAGTTTTTTGATGGAGTCTTTCAGGGTTTTTTTTATAGAGTATCATGTCATCTGCAGATAGTGAAAGTTTGACTTCTGTCCCGCCAATTTGGATGTCTTTTATTTCTTTTTGTTGTCTGATTGCTGTGGCTAGTACTTCCAGCATTATGTTAAATAACAGTGGTGTGAGTGGACATCCTTATCTTTTTTCCTGACCGTAGAGGAAAAGCTCTCAGTTTTTCCGCATTGAGATTAGTTGTTTTTTTTGTATATGGCTTTTATTATGCTGAGGTATGTTCTGTCTAAACCTACTTTGTTGAGGGTTTTTTTTTTTCTATCATGAATGGATGTACTTTGTCAAATGCTTTTTCTGCACCTATTGAAGTGATCATATGGTTCTTATCCTTTCTTTTATTAATGTGGTGTATCATATTGCTCAATTTGCAAATTTTGAACCACCCTGGCAACCCAGGAATAAATCCCACTTGATTGTGGTGAATGATTTTATTAAGAAGTTATTGGGTTCAGTATTTGCTAGTATTTTATTGTGAATTTTTGTATCCGTAGTTATCTCTTTTTTTAAAGTTTTAAATTTATTTTTATTTTTTTATTATGTTATGTTTGTCACCATACAGTACATCATTAGTTTTTGATGTAGTGTTCCATGATTCCTTGTTTGTGTATAACACCCAGTGCTCCATGCAATACGTGCCCTCCTTAATACCCATCACCAGGCTAGCCCATCCCCCCACCCCCCTCCTCTCTAAAACCCTCAATTTGTTTCTCGGGGTCCATAGTCTCTCATGGTATGTCTCCTCCTCTGATTTCCCCCCCTTCATTTTTCCCTTCCGTCTCCTAATGTCCTCCATGCTATTCCTTATGTTCCACAAATAAGTGAAACCATATGATAATTCACTTTCTCTGCTTGACTTATTTCACTTAGCATAGCTCCTCCAGTTCCATCCATGTTGATGTAAAAGTTGGGTATTCATCCTTTCTGATGGCTGAGTAATATTCCATTGTATATATGGACCACATCTTCTTTATCCATTCATCTGTTGAAGGGCATCTTGGCTCCTTCCACAGTTTGGCTATTGTAGACATTGTTGCTATGAACATTGGGGTGCATATGACTCTTCTTTTCACTACATCTGTGTTTGGGGTAAATGCCCAGTAGTACAATTGCTGGGTCATAGGGTAAGTCTACTTTTAATTTTTTGAGGAACCTCCACACTGTTTTCCA